CCCAATAAACTTAAATACCGCACGTGGGACACGGCGTATACGTACTAATTAATCACCAACAGAGAATTATTAGGTGCTGACTTAGTTATCTGCTCAATTGTCAGTCTTCGCTCTCCCTCATAGCATTTAGCTGTGTTTAACATTTGTTATGAATATTTTTAATTGCATTCTCTGTACGTTTTTTGTTTTTTTTTTTTTTTTTGTTTTACGGCAGACTGGCTAGTTTGTAGTTTTGAATTTATGGCGCTGGTCACTTGGCACAGCCAACTACATAATTGATGTTGCTCATACCACATGACGCACGCAGCATGCGTGTTGTTCTTGTATACGCAATTAGGGATGTATGTACATACATGTATGCTTGTACATATGTATTTATGTACGTATGACATCATAGTCTAAAACTATCAACGACAAGAGCTAAGTAAATGAGTTCCATTTAAAAATGCGTTCAGTTGAAATGTTTAATAAAGCCAATGGGCGAAATAAGTATACATACTAGATACATATGTATGTATATTTGCGCTAAGTATACAAGAATTTAATTTTAATGGAACTAGCTGCAATAAAAGGCTTATAAACATACACAAAAAATTTGTATCTCTAAATCGAGGTGAATTGGAAAAGTTTAGCCGGCGAGATGTTAAATGCTTTTTTTTCTTCAATTTTCTATCATGCAAAGTTTTTTTCAGAAGGACAAATAATGATGCTAGATAGGAAGGAGTGCTTATTTTAATGAATAACTTTTTCGCTGGCCGATGCAAAAATAGTATTGAAATGTAAAACAGATTAAAAAGTCTTAGCTTACGTTGAAACTACGGGAGAGCAGAACCCTCCTCACACATAGACAAAGAATAGCAGCGCCGTGATCCCATATAGCATTACTAGTCTATTCCATTGCTAAGAGCTGACGCTTTGAACTGTGCCAACGGCCTCATTTCCATCTGACAGATCTCATCTGCAGGCATTGGTTAAAATGGTTTGCCAAGCATGGTTAGTCTTATGTCATGCAAGCCAATTAGATTGTGGCCCGTAAAAGTCTTTGTACGAACACAATTATGCGCTTTTCCATTATGGGAATGCTAGCGCATGTTAGGTTAGGTTAGGTTGAAATGCCTGCCAGTGACCCCATTAACACAGCTGGGCCTGCAATTGTGATTCCGTCTTCTTCCACAGAGTGCGGGGCATTCGCCCAAGCTCGCGTGCTTTTCTGCCTCAACAGGGCAATGGCTGTGGCCAAATCCCTTCTGATCAACTTGTGGAGACCTTTTCACCGTTTCCCGTGAAATTTCGGCCACACAAATTTCTTATATTTGCAAGTGATGAGACTAGCCCACCTGTTACTTGCTTGACCTACATATATGTTGGTTCCTTGAAATGATCTAGCTGGTGTCAAGCGGCATGCGTAAACACCTACATGACTGCGCAAGTGGAACGGATGTGCCCTCTCTTCCAAGTGCGTCTCCCTTTTCGTTGCCTGGTATGTTGCCCCAGCACCCATATCAAGTGATGAGGAATTCAAAGAATTATCGCTTATTCACGGATCGAAAGGCTTATAAGTCACTCATCGTGCCCGTGCTGGTATATGGCGCAGAAGCATGTTGACAATGACAACATCCGATGAGGCGGCTCTTGGAGTGTTTGAGAGAAAGATTTTGCGGAAGATTTACGGGCCTTTACGCGTTGGCGACGGTGAGTACCGCCGACGATGGAACAATGAGCTGTATGAGCTTTACAATGATATGGACATAGTGCAGCGAATTAAAATACAGCAACTCCGCTGGCTTGGCCATGTCGTTCGAATGGACACCAACGCTCCAGCTCTGAAAGTATTCAACCCGGAACCCGCTGGTTGTAGCAGAAGAAGAGGGAGGCCCCCACTGCGATGGAAAGATCAGGTGGAGAAGGACTTGGCTTCACTTGGCGTTTCCAATTGGCGTCAGTTGGCACAGAGGAGAAACGATTGGCGTGCTTTGCTGGCCTCGGCCAAAATCGCTTAGGCGGTTACAGCACCAAAAAAGAAAAAGAAAAAAGAAAGGCTTTACCTCAATTACCTCAAATTAAGCCGACTGATCTTTTGAGAGTTAATAGTAGGGCAGAGTTCGGTCTGAATTTTTTGAAGATAACAAAATTAACAAATATTAACCGAGTATCCGGATTTTCAAAAAAAAAAATAATAATAATAAATATACAACTGTTTATACATAAATATTAATAAAGCGTTGTATAGTTTATTTTTCAATTAAATAGAACAATTTTACGAACTGTTTCAAATATCCGGATAACAAAATAAACGGATTAAAATGTCCGGATAAGAAAATTATTAAGCCGATATCCGAATATCCGAATTTTCTCCATAGTGACGAATACCGAAATGGATATCCGGATAAGGGATAATGCCAGCACTAGGTAATGGCACTGTAGAATTTTGAAAAAAACACATTTTTTTGTTGTTAAAACTATGCCTTAGTACTCGTATTATTTAAACAGTAGTTGTGTTCGTTTAAAAAATGTCCAGTAACCTGCCAGTAACTTAATTTTCTAACCACAGCTTACCAGAAATGTACGAAAATACTAGATTTTAATTATATAGTTTTATTTTGGCAGTTTCAACGTTAATAATAATAAAAAAAGTTGTGTGTGGAATCCACGCCCAACTGAAGTGAAACTTCTTCTTATCACTTCTTATAGGAGTACTTTAAAATCTTAATCTAAATCTTGATTTCGATCTCAATCCGAATCTCAAACTCAACATCAATCTGAAACTCAATCTGAGTCTGAATCTTAATATTAATCTTAGTTTTAATTTTTATTTTAATCCTAAATTTTAGTCTTAATCTTAATCCTAATCTTAGTCTTAAATTTAATCCTAATCTTAAATCTTAACCTAAATCATAATCTCAATCTTAGTATAAATCTTAGTCTTAAACTTAAACTTAATCTTGAGCTTACCAGCGTCATCTCCTCTCTTGAAATAAAAGCCCAACGATCGTGATCTTTTTTTTTTGTTACATCGATGTTTGAATTTATTGCTATAACAAAAATAGAGGCATCTAAAATTTTAGGCCACCTCTAAACGGCAAATGGTTTTTATGAGAAGCTGTTTCAAGGCAGAAATACGCTCAAAGGTTTGCCAATGTCTGGACAACCGCTGTTAGAAAATTTTTTCTAATTTAGATCTTGCTCGGACCACGGATCGAACCCAGGGGCTTTGGAGTGGTAGTATGCCTCTCTAACGACTCAGCCACAGCGGTCGCCTACATATATATAAGCCTAAATACTGTCTCGTGCTAGAGTAATTATCGACTGTACCTCTAGTAGCAGTTACTGCCATGAAACAAACTACAGTCATCTGGAAGCATAAATGTGGTATATATAGAGTACACCCTAGAGAGAACTCCTCAACTTATCCTCCTTAAAGCTTTGAACGGTTCGTAAAAAAGTTTCTTGGTCTTCGCTTTCATCTTCTGTATCGCATGCACTTCTTTGAAGATACGTGAGTGGAGAATAAATTCGAAGTCGAGGCATTTAACAATAAGAGCAGCTCTAATAACCTAACCTAACATTGGGCAAAAATGCAGGGAAGGAACTACACTTAACTTTATTTTCTATTTATTCGAAATATCTAAATAACTTGATTTAATATTTTAAAAGGAGTAAAGTATTTTAATATCGTTATTGAAAGACTAATGACTTCCATTTGTTGCATTATGGCTATAGACAGAAGGAAAACTCTGGACAATTTTTCGATATTTTTCACCTAAAAACATCTTGAAATTAGTATTAAAAAAAAAAAAAATAACAAATACATGCCACACTACGCACATAAATACTCTTCCAGCTACTAAACCGTCCGTCCAAATGTTTATTTAACGTAGCGCTCATTATTTGCGCGTGTTTGTATAAATATTTATTTATGTATTTGAAAATTTGTTACACAATCGTAAATATTTATTTAGCGATGCAGTTGCAGTTTCGACTCTTTCCGCTTATTTTAAAATTTATTTTTAAATATTTTAGGTTTGTGTGTACTTAATAAAATTTTTTAATTCTTTTGTATATACTTCCAGATCCCCGGGGCTTTCCTCACGAAGGCGTGCAAACAGAAAAGCCGCCACCGAAACTTTCATTTAGCGAAAATTCGAGTTCGCTGGTACGTTGCGTACCGAACGAAAGAGCGACATTCTTCGTAAAAATCGACTGTGACGAAGACTCCGATTTGTTGCCATTAAAATTTGAATGGTGAGTATGAGTTATACTGTGAGTATATACTATGAGTGAGTGAAAAAAGGTTAGAAAAGTCGAAGAAGGAAGGAGGGTGCGTTCAAAATTGTATGTGAAATATTTATTGAAAAGGAAACTAAATATTTCTCTATGGCTACTCTCACGAGATTAATTTAGATCGTCATCTGCGTCGTGCGGTTTTGTTGCTTTTTCAATTGCTGTGGCATTATTTCTTGGCCATTTTCCAGTGCTTAATTCACAACACAGACGCACACTCGAAGATAAGAACGATGAGAGTGGTGGCTAAAATGAACGCTCAGCGAACTAACTACATATTAGCAAAACGATCTGCAGCGGCGCGCCAACAATTCTCTGTGGGACACATTTCTGACAACGTTCTTAAACTTGCCAGTGGTAGTGGCGTTGGTGAGAGCACCCCATTGCCGCAAGGAGTAAACCTTTGTAGGCTTGTTTGAGGTGACCGGAAAGAGCGCTGCTTCCGAAATTATGCACATTAGCGTGCTAATGACTGGGTGTGTGCGTTTCTCGGAGAGCTCTAACAAGTGACACCATAATGATCTACATATGTCACAGGCAATGGGGCGAATTTTTGAGCAACACAAAATGGCAAAAGTGTTGCTTTGAAGAAAATTTTCTTGCACAAAATTGTGGCGCTTATGTGTGTGGGGGAGTGTATTTCGACTATAGTGCCAAGGCATGAGCAAAAGCCCTGCTCATCGGTGTTCTCGTTAGTCCTACTTTGTCGATCGTCACGTTCAGAGATAAACGCTCGGATTGCCGTTGCCCTAAGTGGTCAATTTAGAAAGTAAAAAAAAAAAAAAATAATTTTATTGAGGAAGTGTTGCTTTGTGAATACATAAAAAACAACATACATACATAGGTGTTTAATAAATCTTTGTGTGTACAAATGTGCTAACATATGTACGCTTAGGGTAGAAGTGTTAAAGCCATAAATATGCGGCAAGGATTGAAAAACAAAAAAAAAAAATGAAATTTTCGTTGCGATCTACTTATATTTTTAAGCCAAAAATATAGTAAAATTGTGTGTGAATAGTTCGACATGCAGTTTCATGTAGATTAAAATTTGTGAAACATTAAATGTATGTAATTTTTATTGCTAAGACCGAAAATAATTGAAATTTTTAAAGTTGTGCAACAAATGTTACGAAAGCAGAAATTATTTGAACCATCTAAAATGGTTGGAAGCAATTACACAAAAGTAAAATAAAATAAAAATTAAAAACTTATGCAAAATTTGGGTACACAAGCGCTGCATATTAAAATCTAAATACCAGAATATTAAAAAAATAGTATTTTCGGGCGAAATACTTACATATGCAGAAAAAAACCTAAGTATGTAATATTTTGTTTTCAAAGCTGAGGTGATGAAAGTTATTTTATAACTTAAAAAAGCTAACTTAAAATGTGAAAGTAGAAATATACTAAAGTGAATGGCTGAATAAATGTGGGACTTGCAAACCAAAAAAAGGAGCATACAAATAAATAACTAAAAATACCTAAAAATTAATAGTTAAAATACGTATAACTAAAAACAACAAACAACTTTTCAGTAATACATTTTTTAGTTTCTTTAAAAAAGCGAAAAATTAAAAAAAAACAAAAAAATATTTTGTAACTATTCAACGAAAAAACACACAAAAAAAGAAAATCCATGCACTAAAAAATTATAAAAAAGAATTTATTGGAATAAGTTTTTCGCCTACTAAAAACAAATTTACAGAGAAGTTTATTAAAATTTTGCAAAGATTTCAACGAAAAAATGCTCGAATTTTTTTATGTTTAACTAAGTAATAAAAACGCAAAACTAAATTACAAATATTCGAAAAAATCACCGTTGAAATATATATATAATATAACCAGATTTAATATGTGTACCAAATTTGGGAGAATTCATTTTCAAAAATTTTCTGAAAATCTAATTTCTCTCCAAACATTGTTCCGAATTTAAATTTTGGGTAACTTTGCTTCAGTCGTTATTGATATCTTGCAGGCATTGCTTGTTCCTAAATACCGTTACTTGGGAGGTTACTGTGGTTTGCGTCCGATTCCAAAACTTTTTAAATTTTTTTCTAGTATTAGGTCCAATCCTGTCTTCTCCGGACTAAAACTAGTAAAACTTTCAAAAAATAAAAATTCGCTCAGAGCAGGAGTGTAAAACTGACGTACGGGATCGCAACTATTACTAAACGAAAGCTCCATATCAAGTTTTAGAAAAATTGACTTATCTATCTTTATTCCTTACACTGGTTTCATCTGAGACAGTACATTTGATCTCGGATACGGAAGTTCTGAGTGAATACTCCTTTTCGAATCACAGGTAAATTCAATCATTTTTGGACAAATGCGTCCTCCAAGCAAACTCTGCACGAATCTGAGGAGTACGAACTGGAATCTGTACTGCATAAATCTTCTCGGAACACTCACTGATGCACCAAAAACAAAATTTGTGCAGTTGGCGGATTCGCTCGATGAGCTTGTCCAAGTTTTCAGTTCTGCGTGCAGAGATGCTCTTGAAAGCGCTTGTCCGCTAAGATGTCAGAAAGGCAAAGGAAAACCCCTTTGGTGGGTGGCGGTGCTTTCTGAGTTAGGGGCGTCGAGGAGACAATTATTCCACAGCGTCCGCAGGAGTAAGCTACCTTATGATTGGAAACTTAATAAGGTTTAACTGGGAATCTACAAGTCCGACATCGGAAATGTCCACTTTCCTTTGACTAGTCCCCAAAATTAGTTAAGCACTTCTATATTGATGCACCAAGGGCTTGAGAAATGTTTCTTACCTGCCTCCTTTACGAATGTAGACAAAATTTGCAAAACTTGCATTGCTCGATACCCGGGTATCTAGAGCTCTAGTAGGAAGTATTTTAACTGTAGATGATTTTATATGCCTGATTTTGCTTTTATACACCTATTTTTTTGATAATTTTAAGAAATTATTTTTGTAAAAAGTTATTTAAAGTTTTCTAAATCTTAGGGCTTGTAGCCAAAAATAAAAAAAAACGGCATGGGTTTTTAATATTGAAATCTAAAAATTAAAAAAATTTTAATGAACACTTCTTTTGTTTGTAATGTAGAAAATATGTGCAAAGAAAAAAAAAAACAAAACAATAAAATATGTATACCTGAAGGGCTTATTTCCAATTTGGACAAGTTAACATGGGTTAATATAAAAAAAACCAAAGCTCTTAATTAAGAAAATATTACATTTAATAAAAGAATCGGTTTTAAAATCATACAAAAATAAATAAGACTCAACAATTTTAAATGCCGTCTTCTTTTGTTTTGAAATGTTTTATTGTTTTAAGATAAAAAGTAAAGTTGTTAAGAAAAAAGTTTAAAGACGAAAAAATGTTAACTAAAACGCTTGAAAAGAAATAGAGATATTGCAAAAAGCTCCGATAAACATTAAAAACGCGTAAATTTTCGCAATTCACATTACACTTTCACACATACAAGTTTGTCTATTCCTGCACTTGGATGATCTCAACAATATTGCCCTATTTTTTCTTCTCTCCGTTGCGGCTCTTGCCCCAAATATTCCTGCTCCACACTTGCACTAAATATAAATAGATGCCTGCAATTTTGTGTGCTTTCAGCTTCCCAGCTGCCACCAACGTCGACGCATTGCACATCATCGCAGCAACCAGGCTGCATGCCGACCGCGGCATTCACCCCACCCGAAAATGTTCATCTCCATATGTATGACTGACTGCTGGTGTTTTTTTGGAACTGTAATGGATTGAAATGTACATTTTTTTTTCCAACATTTCGCAACATTTTTACGAGCGCAAATTACGTAATGAAATTTTTCGTTTACCGCGCGCGACAATGCTTTTTCTTGGCTGTAGTAGTTGTTTACTGTTTGTTTGTTCTTTTGCTTGCTTCCGATTGTTGTCTTTCTTTAGTGATGGCATCGGAATTTGTGTCTACTCGCGTCAACGATGAAAAATTATGTACTCTTGTCTTTTGGTTGCTGCAACGCAATGGCAGCGAAAAACTTTTGCAATGTATTTTATTTTAAATAAAAACAAGCAAATTTCTAAACAATTCAAAATAAAAGAGAATATACCAGAAAAGTTGAATAGAAATCTACTTTACAATCAATATAAATAAATAAGTTAGATAAAAGCTAAACAGAAGCAAGAATGTATGTATGCACATTAGACTGCATCACCCCCTATAAGAAAAAATCTGTATTGTTTTTTCTTAGGAATTATAAAATCTTTTATATTTTAAGGCTTGCACCAAAATATTTCGGAAAAATATTAAGATTTATGTGAGCTGGACCGATTTGAAAATACTTCCAAAAATTGCGTTTTTTATGAATAAAAATAATTTTTTTGAAGTATTTTTTTAAAAAATCAATGACAAAATGACAAAACAGTTTGAGCTAAAAAAATTAGCTTAAAAAAAGTTAAAAATAAACTTTTCAACGGAATCATAACAATACGATTTTTGATGATGTTTTTGAACTTTCTTCAAAGATTGGTAAAAGATAAACTTGAATAACTCAGCTAAAACTGTACCGATTTAGACTTATGTAGTATCATTAGAAAGATATTTTCTAGAAAAGTATGCAAAGTTTGAAAGAGAAAGGTAAGATAAACGTCATTCCGGATTGAATGAAGATGTCTCAACATTTGAAAAAGGAAAAATTGGCAGGTGAATGAGTCTTTTATGCAAAGAAATAAAAAGGGTGAGAAAATACCTTTCCATTGATACCTGAGCCTAAATCGGTAGAGTTTTGGCCCAGTTATTCGAGTTTTTCCTGAACCAAACTTTGAAAAAAGTTAAAAAACAGCACACAAAAATCTCATTATTATGATTCAGCTGAATTTTTTTTTAATATTTTTATGCGAATTTTTTAAGTTTAAACAGTTTTGTCATCTGAGGGATTTTTTTTTTCAAAAAATCTTTTAAGAAACTATTTTAATTAAAAAAACTGCATTTTTGGACGTATTTTCAAATCGGTCCAGCTCATGTAAATCTTAATATTTTTCCGAAATATTGTGGAGGAAGTTGTCTAATATAATAAATTTTTTAATCCCGTCCGAAAAACCGAAACCTTTTTTTGGTAATGCAGTCTAATGTATATATATATATATATGTATATAGATAAATACATACATACACATTCCGTATGTACATACATATGTATGAAAGAAAATAATATCGTGTTGGCGCAAAAATTTATTATAAACTAGAAAACAAATCGAATATTAGTGAATTTTTGCGTTGGCATTGACAGTGACGGCAGGAGTTGCATTCGCACAGATGTGACTCTGGGCCGAATATAGATTGCCAATTATTATACAATTTTCACTTCTAAATTGTTTAGTTGTTTTAGATATTTAATGCTGACGTGCTGGCGTTTGTTTTATGCTCACAACAATTGTATTGTATTTTTTGCCTTTAAAGATGTAAATGTTTCAAACAAAATGTGCAGAAATAAAGATGGTTTTCAAATGTTTTGTTACAATTCTCAGCTGAAATCAAAAATTGATTAATTGATTAATTGAAAGTCGATTAATTAATTAATCAAAGAATAATTATTTTTGATTAATCAAAATGAATAATTTTCCGATTAATTACATATCGATTAACCAGAATCTAATTAATTTAATTAATCAGCAAACTGATTAATCTTAACCCGATTAACCAGAAATCAGAGTAATTGCTGTCTGAGTCAGCATTTCTGAAATGGGCCACTTCAATTATGTGATATTTTATTTCCAATCAGCAGTGGTATTTTTTCATAGCTATTGAC